AGTCATCAGATTTCACAGTAAATATGGGCAGTCTTTTGTCTATCAGTTAGATCTTATGAAAGCTCTTTAAAATAATTATATGATCGAATGTTGCATAATGGTTACATTGGTGGACTCCCACATGGTCAACCATGGTTCAAGTCCCAGACCTGGCGTCTTGAAACTCATGCCAGGTGCATGTGTAGATGTGCCCAAAATCCCAAGAGGAGAATGAAGGAGAAGGGATTGCAGCCTGGCCATCCCCCCTGAGGAGGGGGGGTCTCACTTTCTGTCTCTCTGTCTCTGTATGTCACTCAAGTAAGTGCACATGCCCTATAGCCAAAATCTCTCAAGAAAAAAAAAAAACATTATAATTTAAAAATAAATAAATAAAATAAGAATTATAGAGCATGTCAGGTGGTGAAATGTGCTTTGGAGAAAGTGAAAGCAGGTATAAAGAAGAGAGTGGACTCTGGAATACTACTTGGCCATAAAAAAGAGAGAGAGAGCCCCTAACATTTGATGCAGAGAAGACTGAGTCCACCATGAGAGCTGAGATATAGTGATTTCAGCAATAAGGCAGTGAAGATGTTCTGCTGAGAATTTACCCTGGTGGAGACCCTGTATCCATCTCTCTGTCTCTCTGTGTCTCTTTCTGTCTCTCTGTCTCTGTTTTCTTTTTCTTTCCTTTTTAAAAATTTTTTAAGATGACGTTTTTTTCTTGACTCTGAAATCCTCTTTTATCTTGGTAATAATCCCCTCCCCTTTCCCCCTGCCATCTAGGCAAACGGAGAGGTCAGGCCAGAAGGAGACTGAGTCTGCCGTGAGAACTGAGATAGTGACTTCAGCGATAAGACAATGAAGATGTTCTACTGAGAATTTACCCTGGCAAACAGAGAAAGCAAGTCAGGTTTTCACTTTTTGTTTTTTAAAATTAACAAATAAATTTTGTTTGTTTGTTTGCTTGCTTGCTTTTTCCATTTTTCTCTTTTGTTTTTCGTTCTGTCTTGCTCTGTTTTCTTACCCTTTTTTTTAACTTCATCTCTTTTCTGCTCAGCCTCCATCCACTGAGTATCTAGACAAGTGTAAGTGAAAAGTTGCCAAAATCTGAATACGATTTGGATTCTCAAACTCCCACTAAATCTGTGACACAAAGAGAGAAAAAACACAACACCAAAGAGTTTGCAGACCACGTCCTCCTGTGCGCCTCTGATCGTTCAGACTAATCTTCTAAAAATTGGGAAGAAATGAACAACCCATCAGATGGCTAGAAGTCACCACAGGGGCACAAGAAATATGTGAAACCAAGAAAATCCCTCACCCCCAAAGGATAAGAATAGCTCCTCTTCATCGACAGACAGTACAATGGAACTCATGGAAATGTCTGGTAAAGAATTTAGAGTATTTCATAATTTAGAGTATTTCTAGTGACAAAGCTAACAGAGATGGAAGAGAAGAGAGACAATGAACACCAGAAGAAAAAAACCCATGAGTTCCAGGAGTTGAGGAAGTTCTTGCAAGAGCTGAAAGAAGAAATACACACCATAAAAAAGAATCAAATGGAACTGTTGGAGATGAAGGCTATACTACAGGGGAGGTCAAAACCTCCTTTGAAAGTATTAAAAGTAGACAAGATCATACAGAAAATCAAATCTCAGATGTAGCTGACAAAATTGTTGGACTAGTAAAATCCCAGAAGGTAAGGAGACTAAGAAGGGCATTGATAATCTATTCCAGAAATCCTGAAAGAAAACTTCCAAACTTAGAGAGGCATTCAAAGATCCAGACCCAAGAAAAACAAAGGACCCAAAATAGGATCAACCCAAGAAGATCTTCCCCAAGGCACATTATAGCCAGATTGGCCAAAACCAAGACAAAGACAAGATACTCAGTCTGGCAAGAGAGAAACGTCAAGTTACCCACAAAGGATATCCCATTAGGGTAACACCAGACTTCTCATTGGAAACAATACAAGCAAGGAAAAATGGGAAAATATATTCAATGTGTTGAGTGAAAAACAATTTCAACCAAGAATGCTATATCCAGAAGACGAGAACATTCTCAGATAAACCAAACCTGAAAGAATTTACCAACACCAGACCAGCTCTCCAAGAAGTTCTGAAGGGAGTGCTATCCCAGGAAAACTAAAGTCAGACACACAGAAATAAAAGTTCTAAAACAGCTAAGAAAATGGCCAGCTTCATGGTAGGGACAAGTCCAGAGCTGAATGTTAACTTCCAGAATTTAAACAGAAAGATCCAACCACAACAGAAGATTAAGTACATGAGTTTGAACTAGTGAAATAGAATTTTATGACTTCTGACTAAAACGTTACTGACCTTCTATGCTTTGTTTTCCAGTGTTAAGGAGTTTTGTCTTCTCTCAAGCTGTGGACGGGGCCAGGTACCTACTCTTCGAACAGAATCCTAACCTGTTTCCTGGCTTTCAGTAATAAGCAACGTTCTCTTAACATTTTTTGATTTTGATTTATTAAATACAAAACTGCTTTTCTTGAAATTAAAAAATGTATCATCATTGCTAGCAATCATCATCGTCAGCAATACACCCAACATTTCTGAAATCAGCGTTCACTTTTGGTTTCACCTCATGAATACACACATTAACTCATCTCTCAGGAAAGCAAACACCACAACACCCCTGCCCTGCCCAGGGTGGAGTTGGCTCTCAGATGACCTCAGGTAGGCATTCTCAGGTTTCATTCCTTTGGACTTTCTCTTCTGCAGTGTCCACAGGCCACTTGGTCTCACCTGTATGGGGTCTCTGGGAGAATGTTCTCCTTATAGAAGTGCATATTCTTCCCTGGATTGTTGAAGAATGAGACGGAAACTCTGTCCCCAGAAAAGACAGAGGAAAGGACTCCAGTGTGGGTCCATGATGCACCTGAGACTCCCTAATGAACAACCACTTCTCGCTCAGCCCAACGCTGCACACCCTGAGGGACAACAGCAGAGGAGATATCCACAGTTCCCTATTTCTGCTCATTAGACACATTTGCTTCTTGGTACTGCAACTTCAAAGCACACAATTTCCCTGTGGGACACTGATCTGGACAGAAAAAGATTGTTCCTACTGATTCTATACTCTCAAGGGATCGTATTAAAATGAGATGAATCTAATCTAATGAATTCTTCTGTCTTCTAGAGGTCTAACTCCTTTAAAGTTTCTCCAAAGTCAAACACTGAAGAACCTGTTTGACTAGGTCCCTAGGGTTTTCAAAACCTTGAGTCGTGGTGGGGAAACAGTTCCTGATATCTCCACCAAAAAAATTCTTTCCTCTTCAGGAAGGGAAAACGTTCTCTGATGTAAATGGAGGAGCATTCCAAGTGTTGGCTTCATGACACTTTTGCCAAAACAATTAGAATTTCATAATTGGGGCTGGCAGGTGGTCTAGTAATTATGGGGCTGGACTCTTACATCGGTGACCATGATTTGAGTAGATCTGCCAGCTTGTTTTGTTCATTTCCCCGCCCCTCCTCTTTCTGTCTCTCTCTGGTGAGTGCGTGTGCCCTATAATACATTTTTTAAATAATAATAAATTTAAACAAGTTTTTAAAAATAATTTAATATTTCTATCACAAGTTAAGAACTATTGTTAGGGGACCGGCAGTTAGCGTAATGGCTATGTCACTGGACTCCCATGTGGTCGACCGTGGTTCACGTCCCGGACCCGGTGGCTTAAAACTCACACCAGGCGCGTGTGCGTGCGTGCCCAAGATGCCGAGAGGAGAATGGAGGAGAGGGAATTGCGGCGTGGTCATGCCCCCTGGGGGATGATTTCTCGCTTTCTGCCTCTCTGTCTCTGTCTGTCTGTCTGGCAAGCGCAAAAATCTCTCCAAAATAAAAAGAACTATTTTTAGTACCTTATTATACAATACTTGGTAACTAGAGGAGATATATTTAGATCTTTTTATGTACCATAACTTGAACTTAGCACTCTATAAAGACTGTTTAGTTTAATTTTTATACAACCCCATTGTATGAGGAGGTATTAATTTTTCTTCTTTTTTTTTTAGGTATTGGTCATATGATGCATATATATGTTCACTGGAGAGGCAGAGAGGGAAAAAGAGAGAGAGTGAGAAACTACCCTCCAGGGGCATAGCCAAGCTGCAATCTCTTCTCCTCCAGTCTCTTCTTAGGGTTTTGGGAATGCACTCATGCATGCCTGGAGTGATTTTTAATCTACTGGGTCTGGGATTCAATCCATGGTCAGCCATGTTGGAGTCCAGTGTCTTAACTACCAGCCCTCCTGCTTGCCCCTGAGACAGTCCTATTATATATGCCATTCTACATTGCAGAAATGTAATTCATATTGTAACTGTCCAGTTTAAGGCTTAGGACCTCAGTCATTTTGAAATTAGGAAAGACCTTTGCGGGACCAGCAGTTAGCATAATGGCTATGTCACTGGACTCCCATGTAGTCTACTGGCCACTTGAAAAACCCACTGGGATGTGGGTACATGCATGCCTAGTACCCTGTAAGAGGAATGGAGGAGAAGGGATCGATGCATGGTCATTCCCCATGAGGAATGATTTCTTACTTTCTCTCTGTCTCAGTCTCTGTCTCTCTCCAGTGAGTACATGTATCCTATAGAAAAACTGAATTTTTTTGAAAAAGCTATATGTTTTCATTTTCCTATACTTTTATTATTTTTCATTTCCACCTTTCAAGTGTTTCCTTCCTTGCACATCACATTCAATAACATGAATTTTAAAAAGTACACAGGATAACAAGTCTTTATGAAGCATTTACATTTTGTTACACATTACATGAATTATAGAGATGATTAAAAGCATACAAGAGGATTTCCATAGGTTATATGCAAATATTACAGCATTTTATATACGGTACTTAAACATCTGTGAACTTTGGTATCTGCAGGAGATCCTAAAACCAAGCCCTCAAAGATACCAAGAGACAGCTATCTTGTCATTTCTTGCTCTGAAGTGCTTTAAGCTCTGCATCATGGTTTCCTTCAATACCAGAATAGTTGGCCCTTTTATACTTTTCTTCCAAATAATCTTTTCAGAGCTGTCTTTGTATCTTGATTCCTCAGACTGTAGATGAAGGGGTTCAGCATGGGTATGACCAAGTTGTATATCACTGAGGCTGCTGCACTTGAATGTGAGCTGTGGGTAACAGCAGAATTAAGATACACACCTAGACCCGTAAAATAATATAAGGAGACAACTGAGAGGTGAGAGGCACAGGTGGAAAATGCTTTGTACCTCTCCTGAGATGATGAGATTGCATGAATGGGGGAAACTATCTTAGTGTAAGAGTAAAGGATGCCAGTGAGGGGACCGCCACCCAGCAGCACAGATGTAAAATACATGACCACGTCATTAAGAAAGGTGTCAGAACAGGCAAGTTGGACCACCTGATTCAATTCACAGAAAAAGTGGGGAATGTCCAAGCATGTACAGAAGGACAGTTTCAACACCGTTATGCTTTGTAGCAAAGAATACAGGATACTCGTGATCCAAGATGCCAGAACCAGCAACACGCAGAGCCGGGGATTCATGATGATGGTGTAGTGCAGGGGGTGACAGATGGCCACATACCGGTCATAGGCCATGACGGTCAGGAGACAGTCATCCAACACTATGAAGAGGTTGAAAAAGCTCATCTGGGTGATGCAGCCTGCATAGGTGATGACCTTGCTCTGTGTCTGGATGTTCACCAGCATCTTTGGGACAGTGGTGGAGGTGAGACAGATGTCAACAGAGGACAGGTTGGAGAGAAAGAAGTACATGGGGGTGTGCAGGTGGGAGTCTGAGATGGTGGCCAGGATGATGAACAGGTTTCCACACACAGTGATCAGGTACATGGAGAGAAAAAGCCCAAATACGAGGGGTTGCAATTCTGGTTCCTCTGAAAGTCCCAGAAGAAAGAACTCTGAAATTTGTGTACTGTTCCCTGATTCCATGTGTTGGATATGAATACCAGAAACAGGAAATATTGCTTGACTAATTTTCACCAAAAGGGTCCTTAGTGGTTCTGAAATGTGACAATTTATACTTTGCAGTCAAGAAATTAACACATTTTAAAAAATGTCCTTTAAGTATGGGGTTTCTCTTCTTTAGAGGATTCCTGTGTCATCTGATAAATAATTCTGGTCTCATTTTCAGCCTTTTCCCCAAGAGGTCCAGTATTCTGCAATTTCAGTGGGCAATTCTTCCGTGCATATGAAGAATTTATTACTAACCCTCTTGCACACATGATCTAGACGATGAGTTTAAGGTGCTGGAAAACAACAACAAAAATATTTCTATAATATGAGATGGCAAAAGGATATAAGAAGGTAAAGAAATAATCAAATAGGTGGCATGATGGTTACAATTCTGGATTCCCACATGGCTGACCACAGTTCAAGTCCCAGACCACCATGCATCTTGAAAATCATGCTGGGTGTGTGCACATGTGTGCCCAAATCTTAAAAGGAGAATGGTGATGGGATTGTGTCATGGTCATTGCCCATGGGGAGATTTCTCACTTTCCTTCTCTGTCTTCCCCTGTCTCTCCCTCTGCCTCTCCAGTGAGCACATGTGCCCTATGGCAAAAATAAATAAATAAAAGAAAATAAATAGAAAAGAAAAAGAATGAAAGAAAGAGAAAGGCAACAAAGAAAGGAAGGAAGGAGAAAGAAAAAGAAAGAAAGAAAGAAAGAACGAAAGAAAGAAAGAACGAAAGAAAGAAAGAACGAAAGAAAGAAAGAACGAAAGAAAGAAAGAACGAAAGAAAGAAAGAACGAAAGAAAGAAAGAACGAAAGAAAGAAAGAACGAAAGAAAGAAAGAACGAAAGAAAGAAAGAAAAGAGAAAGGAAGAGAAAGAAAGGCAGAAAAAGAAACAAGAATATAACTGATAAATGAATTTAAAAACTGTGGCATTATACACTATGGAATACTCAGCATATAAGGGGTTCTTTCTTCTTCCCCCCACCCTTTGGTTTTGCCATAGGCCATGTGCTCTTGACAGAGAGAAAGACATGATCCCCCTAGGGGGATGGCCATGCCACAATACTTTCTCCTCCATTCCCTTCTTGTAATTTTGGGCATGTATGCACACACACTTGACATGATATTCTTTCTTTCTTTCTTTTTCAGGTTTTTGCCATAAGTCATATGAACTCACCAGAGAGGCAGAGAGAGAAAGTGAGAAATCTGCCCTCCAGGGGAATAGCCACACCACAATTCCTTTTCCTCTATTCTCCTCTTGAGATTTTGGGCACACATGCACAGGTACCCAGCGTGAGTCTCAAGCTACCAGATCCGGGACTCAAACCATGGTCAGTCACGTGACAGTCTGCCACTTTAACCACTACACCACCTACTGGCTCCTCAGCATGTGATTTCTTATTTTCTGTGTCAGTTAGCATTTAATTGTCTGTATTAACAGAATCACTTTGGGGGGGACAGCAGGTGGCATGGTGGTTAAGGACTCGATGACTTGAAAATTATACCAGGCATGTGTGCATGCATGCCCAAAATCCCAAGAGGAGAAAGAAAGAGAAGAGATTGCAACATGGCCATCTACCCTGGAGGGTACTTTCTCACTTTCCTTCTCTTTATCTCTGTCTGACTAGAGCACATGCACAATGTCAAAAACCTTAAAAATAAAAAAAAAGAAGAAAAAAGAAAAAAAATCTGTGTAGTAAACAGAGAAAGAAATGGGGTCCATAGGAAAAAGAAGGAAAAGATTTAATAAACTCAGGTAGTACCAGGGAGATTAAATGAAGCGAAAGTTCCCTTCGTTCTGGGTTTATTCCAACTCTGAGTTTATTCCCTTGAGACCTCAAATTACTAATAAAGTGACCAAAATCAATTTATCTGAAAGAGAGAGGAGAGATAGCTTTATGGTTTCAAAACACTTCTCAGATGGAAAACCCCAGGAGATAAAGAGCAAACAGAATAAACCAATGGTTCACAAAATAAAACATACAAAGTAGAAAAAAGTGGAGAATTTTAAAAGAGAAAGACCAGAATTATTTAGCAAAAAATAATACATGCAAAAGGATCTTTTAGTGTCAGAAACTGGGTTTTGCATTTTGAGTCTGCTACACGCTGGCTGTTTGAAGATGGACAGCCCAGTCCACTTTTCTGAATACTATTATAGCATCTTCTCCTAAACCATGAGGTTGTGTTATCGATCCCATAGAGTGGTCCACAGATGTAAAAGATGCATGAGGCTTATTTCCTTCTTATTAGAGAAGAATATTTCCTTATTATTAAGAAGCAGGGGCCCTTCTTATTACTAAATGAGTATCTATCACTGTTGAAGAGACAAGGCTGTTGATGAGACTACTTCTTAAGTGCCTCGTTTCTTCCCCACATGTATGCCTCCAATTTCTCTTTTTGTTAAGAGAAAGAGACTTTTGGGACCAGGAGATGGTGTAATGTCTACATCGTTGGACTCCCATGTAGTCAAACACGGTTCAAGTCCCAGACCCAGTGGCTCAAACTCACATGGGGTGTGTGTGCATGCATGCCCAAGATCCTGAGAGGAGAATGGAGGAGAAGGGATTACAGTGTAGCCATCCCCCCTGCAGAGTGATTTCTCACTTTCTGTCTCTCTGTCTCCCTCTGTCTCTCTGGTGAGTACACACACCCTATAGCAAAAATCTCTCAAAAAAAAAAAAAAGACAAAGAAACTTTTGCCATAGGATGTGTGTGCACACCAGAGGACAGAGGGGTATGCCCAACCCTCAATCCCCTCCCCTCTAGTCTCCTTTCAGGTTTTGGGCATGTATGCATGTACACCTAGCCTATATCTCAAACTGGGTTCAGGACTTGAACCCAGTCAGCCATATGGGTGTCTAGCAACTTAACCACCTACCAGTCTCCATGTCTGAGATATATTTCATGTTGGGTAAATTCTCTCTACAAGCTAAATGATGTATAGCAATTGAATGTATAAAATAATAATAATAATTAATTAATACAGAAAGACACTCAAATATCCCCCACTCTGATTTTTTTTAAAGAAAGCACCCTCGCCAACTGCATGTCCCTTTATATCTAAAATTCCAATTTCTTCCTCTCTTTAATGAAATATTATTTGGATATGATATAATATTATTAAACCCATTTATGTCACCAATTTCTTCTTCTCTCTCATCCATTGGGACTTCAATTCATGTCACTTTATGGTCAACAATGACCCATGCTCTGCTGAATCCAACACACATTACCTTTTTTTTTTTTTTAACATATTAAGTAAATAAATTTCTCAGCCATGCAAAAAGCAGGCTCTTTCCTAGGTTGGTTTGGCTTTCAATGGCTCTTGGATAAAGATTCTTAGTATCCATGCTCTGACTCTGTCTTGCCATGTCTACTGGGCTCTCAGACTCACCAGGATGTGATCTGGGAGTGGAAGGTCTCCTTGTGGGAGTGTGAACTCCTCTCTGAGTGGTTGATGATGGAGACAGAAGCCTGGCACCCGAATACACAGAAGGAATGAAACATTGGTCCTCCGGTCATACCCAAGACTCTAAAGAATCAGCCATGTCCCATCCAGCCCAAGGTCATACACTCTGATCAAAAGTAGCAGAGGAGATATTTACAGTTCCTTATCTCTGCTCATTAGGAATATACCCTGTTGTTACCCTAACCCCTGGGCACATCATTTCCCTGGTGGATGGGTCTTGGAAGAAAATAAAAATTTCCACTGACTCTCTGCTCCCAAGAGAGAAAATGACAAGACAGGTGAATCAGGTGTATTTCTCTCTTTCTGTGAACGTTCCTGCCTTCTGGAAGAATGACCTTCTTAGCACTTTGGCCCAGTCCTGAGTTAAATTTTTCTCAAAGTCTCAGACTGAGAAAAGTGTTTTTCCTAGATGCCTTAGAGAGTCACGAGACTGATTTGTGGGGAGGGTAACTCCTGCTATTTCAAGAAAATTGCTATTCCCTCAACAAGGAGGAAAGCAAGGGAGTGTTCATCTACTCTTATACCAGGGCTGTTTATTACAATCCATGGCTTCCCGATGCCTTTAATAAAACACTGAGGAATTTCATGCTCGTAGCACAAGTTAAGACCTGTCATTTACTCCTCTATTCACGACATTTTTTTTTTGGTTTTGTTTTTGTTTTATGGTTTTTCCCTTCATTTGGCATGTGTACTCACCAGCGAGAGGAGAGAGAGGAAAAGTGAGAAATCATCCCCTAAGGAGATGGCCAATGCACAAGCCCTTCTCCTCTCAGTATCCTGGGCATGCATACACACATGTCCACCTTCATTCTCAGGCCACCAAATCCCATTTATTAGGCTCATGACCATGATAATTACCCCAACCTTATTCTGCCTTCATTTCCCATCTGAGTAACAGGAATCTTAACAGTAATACGATCTA